AATTTAAAACCTAAAACAGGAATGAGAAATAAACTGGAGGCCAGCACAGTTGGAGTGTAGTGAATAGGAGGAGAGGAGAGAAAAAAGCAGGATGTGAGATTAAATCAAAGAGGATGCAAGGGACCAGGCCTTGCATCTCCCGTAAGGAGGCTTTAGAACATGTTAACCAGTTGAATGACATAAAAATAATAAAACACAGCATTTAGGAGCTCAAGTAACAGAATTCCCACATTCAAATCCTGCTTATGTCAATTCTTAGCAACATATTATTGTACAAATTTCTTATCTTTCTTATGCCTCGGTTTTCTCATCTATAAATTGGAAACAGATATAATATCCATCTCAAAGGGTTCAAAGGAACAAATTCAGGTAAAAAGCTTAGAATGGGACCTGGTATTATAAATAATAAGTACTCAGTAAATATTATTACATTTAGCGAAATCATTGACAGCTCTGTGAAGATAGACTGTGATAGGCAAGAGCCAAGTGTGAGAAGCCAATTAGGGGTCTGTTGCCATGTCTAGGTGACAAGTGATAGAGGTTTATATTAGGGTTGGAATGGTGGAAACAGGAAGTAGTTAAAATCAGAATCTATTTTGAATGTCTGCCAACAAGACTTACTAACAGAGAAAGTGTGGTAGGAAGGACAGTCCAGTTTGACTCCCATGATGTTATTATTTTTCCTGAGAATGAAATAGATGCTGGTGCTCTGACGCCTGGGAGCATAAGACTACAGGAAGCCAATGGTTCTGCTAGTTTGAGGTGTCTATTAGATATCTAAGTGGGCATGAACATATGGGTCTAGAGCCCAAGAGAGAGGTAGAAATGCAAATTTTTTAAGTTATAGGATTACATGGAAACAATGAAGAGGTGGGTGTCAATAGAGAAAGAAGACCAAGGACTGAGTTGTGAGGATCTCCAGCATCAAGAGGTATGATGGAGGGGACAGAAGGATCAGAAAGGAGACTGAGAAGGAGGGATAGGTAAAACAGAAGAAAATCCAGAAGCAGGTCCTAGAAGCCTAAAGAAGAAACATCTGTGGTTGTGTCCATTCTATAGGTGAGCATTCAGAGCTGTAAGCATTGAGGCGCTAAGTATAGATAATCAGTGACCTCAATGGTGAGAAAGTGGTAAGTCTCAATGAACGTGGGTAAATGGTAGAACAGAAAGATAGTCATGCATCACTTAACGATAGGGACACATCCTTAGAAACGTGTTGTTACGCAATTTTGTGGTTGTGCAAACATCACAGAGTGTGCTTACACAAACCTAGATGGGATAGCCTACCACACATACACTATAAGGTATAAGTATTTCTCCTAGACTACAAACCTGTTTAGCATGTTACTGTACTGAATGCTGTAAGCGACTATAACACAATGGCACATATTTACATATATAAACATATTTAAACATAGAAAACTACAGTAAAAATGTGGTATCATAATCTTAGAGGACCACCATCATATATGTGGTTTGTCACTGACCAAAATGTCATGTGGCACACGAATATAATAGAATAAGGGAAGTCGATAGACAAAGAGAGGTGACTGAAACAGATTTTAGAAGTGGAATAATTATCAGTGTTGGTCTAGGATTTTACCATGTGAAGAAAACGACTGTTAGAGCTGAGAAGATCCCAAGATGAGAGACAAGGAACTAGGACTAAGGGAAAGTAAATGACAGCTAAGGGAGCAAGTTGAGCCATGGCAGCATTTAATAGGAATCCTGTGTTCTTTACACAAAGGTGCTGCAATCCTAAATATTGGCAAGAATAAAGGTGATATGTTGTCAGATGGAATGGAGAATATGACCTATTTGGATCATGTTTCAATCATGCCACACAACATGGGTGCTGGTTTAAAAAGTATCCTTTTATCTTGAGAAAATGGAAGGAAATGTTTCAAAAGAAAAAAAAAAAGCTAAATATCCAAAGCTGTACATTGCATCACTGCTTATAATAGAGAAAATGGAAATGAGACGCAATGGAAAATCATTCAGCATTGTGGTATACTAGAAGAGACCTTCAAAGAGCAGCTGATGTACCCACAAAATCTAGAAAGTCATCCCCCACTTGTTCAAAGCATAAAACACACATTCTGTGCCTAAAGAATTTCAGGATGGAAATGTCTTATAAAAAAGAACGAAGACAGCATGTTCAAACTTCTTTTTATTAGAAATAGGCAGTGACATTTTCCAGAAAGTTTAATTTTTGTTCTAGAAGTATCCTCTTTTAATAATCACTAACAGCAGAATTGTAATCAAAGTGTGCTTATATTTTACTTCTGTAAAAAGATTAGTTTGTCCTTAGTTTTTTAAAAAGAGGATTTGATAAGATACCCACGTAATTAATTTTAAAATTGTCATTATTTCTAGCCTTATCTTTAAATAAATATTGGTGAAAAAGATATTGTCAAAACCTATTGATAGGATATTTTTGAAAAGAAAAGTAAATTATTTTATAAATAGAATTGTATAATATCTCTAAAGCAAAAAAAAAAGGTATAAAGTACTTTAAGACTTATGATATAAATTGGTTTTGCTTTTCTAATAATTTGCTTAGAAATGACTTCCACCAAAACCCCAACAATATTTAACCTTAATTTTGATGAAAGATGTCCCTTAAAAATTTTTCCCTCTTGGAAGTAAAATATTAAAAATTGCATGTGTGTGAAGATGGAGGGAGAGGAGTTGCAGGACTTCATGATGCCCTGGTCAACTGAAGACCAGGAGAGAAACTTATGGCTCAATGTAATAGAGGCTCCATTTAGAACACTTCAAAAGATCAAGGAAATTAAAAGGTAGCTCTGGCCTAATCAAAATTGGGTTTTTAATCAGTTTCTAGCACTTTTTTAGCTCTTTTGCCATAATAATTTCCTTTTCCAACTTTATGATAACTTGTAGTGGACATCTCAGCATGCCACTACCAAAAGGCATGCTCTTTGAGGACTAGATCTGGTGGTTGTTTTTTTTTTTTTCTATCACTCACAGAAATGCACAGTTCCTAGAGAAATCTAAATATTCAATACATATTGATTGTTTTAATAAATTTCTGAATAAATTGTAAATTTGTAGCATATAATTTGCATGCCTTCTGTGGTTGATTCCTGTTAGAAGTTCTTCTGTGCATAAAATAAAATGTTAGACTAAAAACACCACATGATCTGTATACTTTTACCTATAGATTTACAGGAACATTTTGACTCTAAATTGCTAGGTTTTTAAGGTTTTCAAATTAAAGACAAATTTTATCTAATACTATAAATGAATCAATGTTGAGTTTATTGCTCCAGAAAAAAATAGCATTAGTAGAAACTATTAGTTGTTGGTTGCCTACCAAAATTCATCCTCCTGAACCTCATTATATTTCCCAATCTCCATTGTAATTGAGTATGGCCATGAAACTAAGCTCTCTCTGATGGAATGTGAGGGGAGGTGGTGTGTTTCTTTTAGACCTGGCCCACAAAACCCCTCTCAGGAAGGTGCCTTCACCATTCCAGCTTACAGGGATGATGACATTCAGAACATTACAAGCTAAAAATGGCACTACTACTTTTACCCTGGATCCCTGAGTGGTTGTGTGGAGTGGAGTCCCCTTTACTGACTGGTAACATCCACTTTGGGCTGTTTTGTAAAGAAAAAATAAACTTCTATTGAATTTGAGTCAATTACATCTTGAGTCAATCACATCTTGAGTCAATCTGTAATAACACTTTAGCCTATCCTAATTAAAATAGATAGGACTTATTGAGTGCTTCCTCTCTGCTAGGCAAGAGGTTAGAGAGACATTCCAATTCCATTTCCATTTCTAACACATTGTTAAATACTATATTTTTCAATCTATTTTTAAACTGATGTGTCAGGCATCACTATTTTATATTTACTATCTTATTTATCCTCCCAATATCCCTATGAGGTAAGTAGTGCTATTTCCCCATTTTACTAATAAGAAAACAGAGGCTTTGGCAAATTAAGAAATCGGTCCAGGGTCACACAGCTAAGAAGTATGTAGCAGTAACAAAGCATAAGCAAAATCCATGGGGCCACCCACTAAGGATGGTGTCTTGGCCAGACACTGTATCCTTAAGGGATTTTTCCAATTGCAATTGTTACATCAGAACTGATGTTGAAGGAGGTAGGTCCATCTGTGCTAAAGACTCTGATTTGTGCCCTAGTGTGAATTCTAACAGGTATGTTACAACATGACTGAAAATGGTCACATGTTCTTTGTAGGACAAGTCATTCATTCCCAACAGAACACATTTATATTCACTTCTATGCTATGAAGTCCCATAAATCAGTAGGCAATGTGTCTTATTCTATGCACATCAGTAAACTAGATTAGGAGTTGGGGGTTACAAAAAAGGTCAACAGCACAGATTTTGACCTTGTGAGAAGACAACAAAAACTAAGTACACACCTACATAAAGCAAGTAATCAATCGTAAGTGATCCTAAAGATTAAATAAGCAAGGAACATAACTCAGGGTTTGACGTTTCCAAACCTGACCTCTACTGTGCAAGAGGTTTTCATAAGTAGTAATGCCCTTAGAAGATACCACATTTTTTACACTCTTTAGAAAATGATTTGAGTGTAAATACACTGGACACAAGAACCCTGAATGTGATACTAACTGTGGTCTGTATTTGAGTTTCCTTGTTTAACACTCTTGGGATTCAAGCTATTAAGAACATTTTAATTTGCTGGGTTTAGTAAAATTAGTGCCCCCATCAGTGGATACAACAACACATAGATACATCTATAAGTAATTTCTTTAAATCAATCTTCAGATACAACTTACATTGAAGTTTCTCTATTTTTAATTAAGGCCGCTGCTTGTTTTGCTATAACATAAATTTTGTTACCAGCATTAAAGCCGATAATGTAACTAGCTTTCAAATAGTAGAGTGCCTTTGAAGCTCAAATTCTTATAGCTGGAGTTAAGTTTACGAGGCTTGAGAATTTACCTTTTGCAGCATCAGCTTTTGGTTCAGACTTACCTTTGGAATATGGTCTTCTGATGAGTCTTCTGCCTAAAGAAGTAGGACTACATAGCTAATTTCCTAGTAAGAATTTCTTGGCCAGCCATGTAGCACCTCTGTGTGAACACTGTAGAATATCGTATCATCCTGCTACAGCCTTCTTCACTTCTTCCTGAACTTTTGTGACTTTGGCAGCATCACAGGCTCCCACTGCTAAACTATGTAGGAACTCAGGCCCCTGAAAAAAAAAGACAAGTAAGGCAGAGGATTTTAGTGTTGTTTCTCCATCTCCAGCTGAGTACCCTCAACCACAAGCTTATCTCTTCTTTCTTTCCTGTAGAATTATTTATCAGCTGTAGATTCCAGATCCTTAATGTTAGTCCCTGCTCGCTCCATCTTACTAAACATGAGCTGCTTGAGAAAATGAGATAATGCATACAAATTGCCACAATCTCTGATGTAATTAGAATTTAATTAATGTCACATTTTTTCACATCATTTATTGAATCACAATTCTTTTTTTCAGACAGGGTCTGGCTCTGTAGGCTGAGCTGGAGTGCAGTGATGCGATCTTGGCTCACTGCAACCTCAAACTCCTTGGCTCAAGAGATCCTCCCACCTCAGCCCCCTGACGAGCTGGGCCTACAGGCATGTGCCACCATGCACTAATTTTATATAATGTTTTGAGGATATATATAAGCATGGCTGAGCTGGTTCTCTGCCAAGGATTCCACAAGACCAAAACAAGGGGTTTTCAGGGCTGGACTCTTGTCTAGAGGCCCTGGGGGAGAATTTCCTTCCTGGAGCAAAATCTCATTCGGATGGCTGGCAGAATCCAGTTCCTGTGACTGTAAGACTGAGGTCCCATTTACTTGCTGGCTGTTAGCTGCAGATCACCTGTAGCTCCTAAAACCTTTCTCTGATCCTGGAACACTGGTTCTTATATCTCAGTGCCAGCAATGTTGTATCAACTCCTTCTCCCGCTTGAAACCTCTCCGCACTTCTCCTGCTGCTGCATCTCATCTGCTGCATTTCTCCAACTAGGGAAAGTTCCCCTTTTAGGGCCAGAACTCACCTGAGATGACCCAGGGATGACTGGGCTTCACTTTGAGCACACCTACACAAACACATGTTCACGGAAACTAGCAGTACGCTACCCATACCGTCTCTGCACTCACCCTCTCGGTATCTACCAAAGGGATCCTATGGCACACACCCTGGACTATTTGTGTGAGGGCTTGTCCTCAGCGGGCCCTGATTGTAATGAGATTGGGCTCACCTGGATAATCTAGGCTACTCTCTATCTTAAAATCTACAACTTTAATAACATCTGCAAATCCTCTTTTTCCACGTGTGCTCCCTCAACTTCACGGGTGTCAAGAATTAGGGTGTGACCCTCTGGGGGAATATCATTCTCCCTACTGCAATTATTAAGCAGGTCAACCACTCTAGGCAACTGAGTTTCACCTCTGACAGAACTCTAGGAGAAAACACAGATTATGCCCCAGACTCATCCCACCTGGGCAATGAAGGAGCTGGGGTATTTATCCTTCAACTCCTATCAGCTAGGGCTGTTTCAGGGGTGTTAACTACGCAACATTTGCAGCAGGCCTCGCTGAGCATAAGCCCTCAAGCTGAGAGTCCTGGGTATGTGCCGTAGGATTCCTTTGCTATATGCAGAGAAGGTGAGGGCTGAGAGACTCTGGGTGGGGTACCGCTAGTTTCCGTGAACATGTGTTTGTGTAGGTACGCTCAAAGTGAAGCCTGGTCATCCCTAGAGGACCAACAGGCCAGGAAAGTTTACCAGGGCCTATTGGTCCCAAACTTTCCATTTTGAGAAGCAGGACATAGGGAACAGATGATAAGGCCTTGCTTAAGCCTCAGTGATAAGCCTCAGGCTTCAAGTCAGTCTTTTACTAGAGTTCCAGTATAGGTTATAAGGTTTATACCCAACTACGACTAGGTGAACATTGCCACATATGTGGCTAGATTCCTTATTTGTAGTATTCCCTTTGAGGCCCCACACAAAGGAGGTATGATTATCAAGTCAGGATCCAGTTATCATAATGTCAGGAAAACTCTATTTCTTATAATCCTCTGACAACTGAGAAGAGAAAGACATTGATATGACAGAACTCACCTATATGATTAATCCAAAGAGCTGCCTCCGGAGCAGTGGTGTTGAAGCACATACAACAAACACTAAGTCAATAAATAGTCCTGGCCATTCAGATGTAGACTTCAACAATACTCCGTACGTTTCAGAAACGTTTGGTGGGTGAATTTCCCCACCTGTGACAAGTTCATCACCACTTTTATCTGGCTGAAATTTCAGCCTGGACAGTGTAACAACACCACCCTCAACAGATGGTCTAAGGCTGTTTTGGTGCTAAGATTACCCCTGCCATTGAGTACATTCCTGAAATGTCAAATAACAAGACTGGAGAACATGGATGGGCTTGGAGTCAGGCAAACCTGAGTTTAAGTCCCAGATTCTATACCTCCATAATGTAGGAGCTCACTCACCTCATCTTACTAAACATGAGATGGTTGAGAAGATGAAATGAGATAATGCATACAAAGCAAATTGCCACAATACCTACATAATCAGAATTTGATTAGTGTGTCACATATTTGTCAAGTTAGTGCAGTCACCTTCTAAGAGCTGAAAAGTGTCTTTGTTTTGCCTGTAATGTCCTTTGGAATTGGAACCAATTCAAACAAGAGATTTAACTGACTGACTGCTGGCCTCATCTCTCATCACCTTCACTCTGCACTCTGCACCCTGCACCTGCTTGGGTGCTGCTCTAGGTCTGCACTGACTGGTTCCATGCTGAGTCAAAGCTGCTGCTTTCTACCTCACGAGAAAAGAAATATGCTCTGTAATCTATTGACAGAAGATTCTTTGTGTACATAGAAGAGGTTCTTGTTTATCCAACAGAAATGTTATCCTCTCGAGTGTTAAAAAGGGCCACAATTCTCATCAGGTTTAGGAAATGAAAGTACATTTTAGTACACTTTACAACCTACTGGGGAAAGAACTGCTGTTGGAGTGGCATTATTATTCATCAAGAAATAAGTTTGGGATCACATTTTGAATTTCCTGTGCCCCTACTCAGCTGTTAGAATGTTTAACTGAGAACTGACTGTGTACATGCCACATCCTGGATTTTTAAGATGCCTTGTTTTAAAGGCCTCACGTTTATAGGCCCTTCTAATTTCCCACAACCAGCATTTATCACAAATTCCCAGAAATTTAGGTTCTCAAGATGCAAATTAAAATGCTCTTTCCGGTATAGCAAGATGACGTAGTTTTGTGTCAGCTACCTTTGAGGGGTGAGTACTTGAGATAGCCCCCAGCTGTATGATTTTGGGGAAAACAGAACACGAGTATCTAATTACACTACAAGGAATACTCTAGTTTTGTTAAAAACAAAGTGATTTCCAATTTTGATCACATATAGAAATCTGTAGCTCCAGAAGATCTGATAGAGTAAGGAAATACAATGCTGTTTTGATAAGATCTTAGGGAATTGCCAAGGTCCGAGCTAATATAACATGTTAAATAAACAGTAAACATATTTACTGAATATTCATTGTACAAAATGCTATGGGTGATTTTTAAAAAACAACAGAATCACTGCCTTCAGGGAGTTTAATGGAAATAATAAGATTATATTAAACATATTCAACACTGAAGTATAGTATATGATTAAGTGCCAGTTGGAACACCTGCAAACATTTGTGAAAAAATTAACTGGGAACTGGAAGATTGTCAAGGAAGAGAGGATCTCCTTGTGGGGACCTTTTGTCCCCAACTTTACCTTCCCTTTAGAAGTTATGCTAATGACTCTTGTCCCAGCTTCACTGACCCCACTGGGAGGGAGAAGAGGGTCTGAGTAGGGGGGTTAGGTGGGGTAGAACCCAATAAACGTCAAGCTCAAACAGCAAAAATCATAGTTTCTTTCATGGCCCGTAGCAAATCTGAAATGAGATGGAAATCAAAGTAGACTGAAAAGACTGGAGGAACAAAAGGGAAATGATCTGTGATTTGATCATCTGATCTGCCAGCCATACTGCCTGTATCTTCAGATAGAGTCTCCACAGAGTTACCTCCCTGTCTGTATCCCTGTATGGCTTCCCAACTAGCTTTCCCTCACTCAAAAAATCATGTGGACACTTCTAAGTCCAGATCTCTGAGAGAGGCAGGAGTTACTTTTCCAGCTTAAGATCCAGGTCTCCTGAATTCTGGTTTCCTATCTGAGGGTCTGGCCTCCTCCACAAGTGATTGACATAATGCCTGCCCCATTGAGGATGGCTCCTACTGTTCCTATGTGTCTACCATTACTATTATTTATAGTGTTACTGCTGCTACTACTGATGAAATAATAGCTACCACCATTTATTGAGCGCTGATGCCAGGTACTGTGATAGGCTCTCTACATGAATTGTCCTCGCTATAAGTCTGTGGGTTACTAAGATTTAGAGAGTTTAGGTAACTGGCCTAATGTTGCATCTAATGCTCCTATTCACTATATAACTCTATCCCCTTGAGGCCCTACCCCATGACTTGAAGACAATTTTATAAAACTCTCTCCCTTTAAGCAGCACAGGAACATATGACATGGCTTGAGTTGGGGGCTGATTTTATTATAGCACAAAGATAAGACAATAATTATGCTCTATGAACAGTAATTGCTACTGTTGATTGGCCCAGACATTCTCAAATAAACATACCTGAGCAGGTGGGATTCAGACATTGAGGAAGACAAGTCCCTATCAACCCCTTGTTGTTCTTGATTTTCTTATAAGGAGGTATAATTATTCTCCAGCTCAGATTCTGACATCAAATTTTGGTTTTGAATGACCCTCATCAAATTTCCCTGATTGCAGGTTTGTTCCCCTGCCTCAGTCCTCTCAGCTGTGCGTGGCTTGCTGCCACATGACCTGCCATTATCACCACTGTGATTTAAACAGTGCTTGTTCAGACACACTGAACAATGGGAAACATTCGTATTTATAACTGAAAGATATAATTGGCACCTTTCACACCAACAGCCAGTTTATATTTTCACAGGTACAGAAATTGTCACACCAAAGTAGCCAAATAACAGGTTGGATATTTTAACCCAGCCCAACAAATATTACTTGAGAACAATGGGGCCGTGCACTATGCTAGTTACTGGAGCTAGAAAAATAAATAAGTTTTATGCCCAGGAGTTGTCTGACTCAGGAGAG